CTAAATACAAAGACCTGGTAGGTTTCAGCCCTGCACATCATGATCGCTTGAAAATGCAAAAAACCCCAAGAATTAAACTTGTTTCTTTATGTTTAAAATTTTTATACTATTATATTTTTACATTGATAAGTTCAAAAATCAAATTGACAGGCAATTTTAACCTACATAAGTATCCTGCCAGGCGAACCGAAAAGTTCACTTTTATGAGCAAGATGCATATTTGCATTAAAATAAACTTTACCCTATATGGTTAAAAGTTATTTGTATATATGCATTTGTCTAAGCGATTTTAAAAAGCTATGCGCAATATCCGGCCATTCTGTCCAGCCTAAGCCCTTACCAGCCGAGGACAAATATGCTAGTGCTAGGGCAGGAGCGCAAGATCTAATAGACAAATAATGATCAAAATTGATTTAAATAATCACAATAAAATATAAACCACATTTTTAGTCATAATTATTTTAGAAATATTGATTTATTACCAAGCACTTTATTTTCGGGGTTAATTTTCTATCACAGGGTATCAAAGACTTTTATTCGGCTTACGCATATTACGTGATTCGTGGGGCTTGCATTTCGAGTTAGCAGCAGGAAGAGTGCATACAAAGCGGTCATTGTTTCAGTTTCTGAACCGACTGAACTGATTTAAACTGACATATTTATAGAAACTCACGATGGCACAAGTTGATAGCATGACGCGCGCATAATGCCTCCATGCTATGCTTGCAAGTTCTATCGGGTACTGTAAAATACTTCTATGAGATTGGAATTTTTTTAAAATAACACGTGTAAGTAGTATCAAGTAAGAATAAAACACGCATTTAAAGAATATTTACAAATTGGCAAAGATATTTTTTCTAAAAATGAAAAGCTCGCCTCTATTGTCCTATCAACAGAGATACATATCTATGAATGCTACAACCATTTCGTGGTTTGATATAAACATCTACTTAAATATTTGAGCTTGTTTCTAATTATTGTTCTCTTTGCAAAACAATGCAATACGATTGCACAAATGAGGGAAGGGCATCGTTTCACTACTTTGCATTTAAGGTCACAGCAAGAGTATGTCTCCAATTAGCCAATCATTAGTGTTCATTGAGTGAGATCTGAGGAAAGCACCGGGCCATATTTGAATCAATCAGAATCGTGACTGAACGACTGATATGAAAAGAAGAGGTCATGTTCTGGCATACAGGAAACAATGCCGAATCAAAATTATTCAGTGTTTTAAATAAAGTTAAGAACAGAAACCGTTAGTCGTGCTGTATGCGACTCTGCGCAATCTTGTGTTCTGCATACAAATGACTGAACAAAAACACACGAATTTAACGTATTTGGCAATGTGAAAATGACGTCATGTACTTTTTTAAAAGTATATAAATATTCATGCATATCTGACATTTCACTGAAATGTAAAATTGTCATAAATTAGCACACAGGCACATGAATCGAAATAACTATTTCATGCTGATGGAAACTAATGCATTCAGCAAAAAAACATTGAAAAATTAAATGACATCTAAATTAACATACGCAAACGAAAACATTGTATTAATAATGGTTTTCAATATTTGATGACTGGACATATTTTCCAAAAGGTTATAAGGTTACCAATATAATTCTTTACTTCTACAAATACAAGTGTTGGAAAAAAGTGGAAATGAAAATGTTTTGTCTATCGTACGTTAACAAATTGCGCTGATATACTATCATCCTTTATTCATTACATTCTTATTCAATAAATTTCGACAGAAGGTATATATCATTTCGCAACATAATTGTATGATTTGATCCGAAGCGTAACATAATTGTATTTAAATTTATTTTCGGATAAGATCAGAGTTATTGAAAAAGAAGAAATAACGCATTACATGATCGGATGATTAAATTGGTCGACCTTGATCCGCGTCGTTGCGGGTGTATTCGAACCAAATCTTCCGGCTGCCGACGACTTCTAACTCCATTCAGGCGGTGAAATCAATTGGAGCTATTTCAATTGATGATATCCGCTCTGTACAAAACAATCAATATGAAGAGTAAGACGTGGATTCGTATTGAATATTGTACATCAATCGAGCGCTCATATGGCGATGACATCACTCGACCAGATTACCTTAAAAAAGATTCTGCGCCTTGCATTATATAAGGCTCTTGATATTGATAGTACACCTCGAAACAAAAA